GGGGGGGGGGGGGGGGGGGGAGGGGCAGCCGAGTCGCGCGCCTCGTTAATAGTGAGTTCCTATGGAATTACGTAAATTAAGCGAAAGCTTACGTAATATTAAGGTTGTCTGTGGAACTGATATTAATAAAATATTAATGAAATAATTTAGAAGAGATGCTTGGAAATAGAGAACGTGAGAGAACGTGTCGGTGGTAGTGGTGGTCGATAATGACACGATAATGACACGATAATGACACATGATGTATGTGTGTGTGTGTGTGTGTGTGTGTGTGTATGGCGGTGACGGTGAGAGATCATGATTTGCGAATGGAGTATAGCTTGTAGTAATAAAATAAGTTGAAATCACGAAAATATCGGAGAGAAGAGTACGGATTAAACGTTAAATCAGAATACGACAGACTTGGAGAAAAACAAAATCGTACGGCGGATGTTGCACGAGAGTAAAACATGACTAGAGAGAAGGAGTGACGATGATCGAGTTTTGTAAGTTTCGGCGAAAGAGATTGAGAAAAGAAAAAAAAAAAGAACAAAACAAAACATAAAAGAAAAAAGAGGAAGTCTCTCCTATTCGGTATGACGTAAATCACGGACGTGACGATCGTGTGAGAAAAACTCTACGTTCGTGTGTGTGTGTGTGTGTGTGTGTGTGTTGCGTGTCTGTGTAGATCTGTGCGGCTTGCTTGTATCACGAGGAATGTTCGCGAGGTAGAGCCGTAAAAAATCGAAGCTTCCACCCGGACGAATGCTTTCGCGGTCTTCTTATTCTTTTTTCCTTCGTTTCGCTATTCTCCCTTTTTATTTTTTTTTCCTGATTTTTTTCTTTCTACTCAAATCGCACGATTAGGTGTCCGAGCGTGTGTCGTATTGTCGCGTGTCTGTGTTCAGGCGTGGTCGAACGTGGTCAAGTGTGTGTCTGTGTGAGTGTGTAGTGTATGTGTGTGTGTGCGCGTGTGTGTACGTATGTGTGTGTGTATGTGTGTGTCACGCGTATGTACGTGTGCGTGAGGGCGCGAGGGTGTAAATATAATAATTAATAATGTAATATAATTAATAATATAAATGTGGAGACGTACCAAACAGGGTAAAGAGAGCGTCAGGCGTGACCATCTACACAGAGAACAGACAGAGTCCAGTCAGTAGTCAGCGAGTATAATAGGATTCAATGTATAGTGTTCGCGTGCGCACGAGATTCGCGTATTGTTTCTCTTCCTTTTCGTTTCACGGCGTCGAATTTCTCCTCGTTGCGTTCTAACGACGTTCCAATTTTGCGCGCGATCGAGGCAAGAGGTCGGCGACGAAGCGAAGGAGGTGGACTTTAATCTCTCCACGATATCTCTTTCTCTCTCTGCCCCATCGATTTCATTCTCACGATCGGCCGCGCTTGAATCTTTAGCGGATCTACGCGCGCGACGCAGATATTAAAGCGAAACTCCCTCCATTTTAGCGAAAGAGCGCCGAGGACGAGACTCGGCGGAGAATCGAGAGATCGTCGAAGCTCGTGCGCGACGCAACGATAGTAGTACACACAGTTATAGTACAGTAGTGACAAGTTGCAGCTGCGAAGTGTGACGTCGACACACAGTGTTTCTCGCCGAGGCGACATTTATCATCCCGCCGATGCTCCCTTCTCGATTACGTCGATCGCATCTAACGCCGGACAATGGCGCCGCGTGCAAATGCATCTCGCGGGAAAATGCGTCGTCGAGATCAATGCGAATAGTTATCAAGAGATGGATACCAAAGAGGCGTGTTACGGCTCTCGCGAGCGCGCGATTCTTGTGCAAATTATCGTGGAACACGCGGAGAATTTAGAGCCGTGAGGGCAAAGGGCGCGATAAATGTCACCTCGCAGAAAGAGTAACGTCGTAGTCGACGACGGTACGAATTAATTAGGGCGCGGGGGATGGTGACGACGTTGGAGTGATTTGTATGTGTGTTTCGAAAATGAGCAGGGGGCAGGGGGGCGGCAGAGGGCTAGGGCTAGAATCAAAGATCTCGTGAGACGAAACAGGGCACATACGCATCGGGGGCTCGGTCCTTCCGTCTCACTGAACGGTCGGGACGATCTCGGGGAATCGCAGTTCTTACCAGATGAATCGGAGGAATCGAGCTTCAAGTGGCGGCGCGTTCTCCTCGACCGGAAGAGAACGCGTCGATCCTTACCTCGATCCCGTGACATATTCACCTGTTCCACTCGTGACCATTTGTCTACCGTCAAGTAACTTCGCGGTAGAATAGCGCATCCGCAAATTCAGCAGCTTCGCAATCATTTTCACTGCTCCATACGGAGAAGAATGTTTGGTTAGATCAAGGGAAGAACAATGCTGTATGAGGACCAAAATTTGCTGGCAAGGGAAATATATGAAACTGGGCTATCTTTGTATTGTTGGGTCTGCTGAATTCGAATATGAAGCTTAAAATAGTCCAGATTCTAGAGAATTTTGCGAAAATGCAGTTTTTTTTAAAGAAAAACTTCGTTCTTCAGCAAATATATTTTAATAATTATTTTTACATTTTATATTTTAAAGAGTCTTTTTTATTGATTATTTATTAATGTTTTTGTGAATTTGACAGATAGTTCTTGACAGTTCTTACTAACTGGAACCTACTCCTTTTTGCATTCACATATTCTCAAAAAATTCAAAAGTTACTTTTTTGTGACGAAAAAGTGATTTATGTCATATTATGAATAACGGTCAGGTGATAAGGAATTATTCGTTAAATTAAAATGTGTCAATAAGAAAATCAATAAAATCAATAAGAAACTTCTTTTATTCATAACTTTGAATCGTTCACTGAAAGATACTTGCCGGCTTTCTGTAGGAAAACTGCATTTTTACAAAGTTTCCCGGGATTTGGACAATTTTAAGCTTGTCGAGTTTGGCAGACCCAAAAATATAAAGATAGCTTGATTTCCCTTACGGGCAAATTTTGGCCCTTTTACAACATTGTTCTTTCTCTGGTGAAGCATGAACGAACCACAGAAAGAAAGTTTCGGTTGAAATTAACAGAATTCTGCTCAAAAGTCAACCAGACTCCTGGTTCGCTCACACTTCTCTATAAATTGGTTGATCCAACCAAACTGCGTTTCCCGTGCATAATTGAATTGAAGTCTATCGAGAGATAACGACGACGACAGGGTAAATGTACACGTAATTATTTTTGTTCTTCTTTTTCCCTTTATTCTTAGACGGGCGCAGTAACCCCGAGAGGTAAGTGATAGAGTTTAGCATATCACGGGTATGCGATACGTTAATTAATCTTTCCCACCTGCCTGTCCTCGACCACGTGCTGGGCACCCGAGATCGGCCCAAGCTCGTGGACGGAAAGACCGAGCCGAAGGATCGAGAGACTGCGGGGTTCGCCTACGTAGCACTACGTTGTAACTCGCTCGTTAGGCCGTGTAATACGTGTATGCACGTGCGTATATACCGGGTAAAGTCGGGGGGTTGAACGCCGCAGTGTGTCGCACACTGAGAGAAATAGCGTGCGGTCTCTTACGGGATTGAGCGACGAGAGTATGAGCCCGAGACGCGTGAAACGAGAAGATGCTATAGAGAAAGAGAGAGGGAGAAGTGAAAAGGTACAGAGAGAAAGAGAAAGAGAGAAAGGGAGAGATGAAGGAGAGAGTGGTCGCGCGTGTGTAGGTGCGTAATGTGTGTGCGTATGTGGGTCGCACCGGGCAAAAGGCGGTTATGCTCTCGCGATAGAAGATATGGAGAACCAGAGGGGCTTGCACACATACACACACACACACACACACACTGCATATAAAGACACGACAGATGGCACACTACAGGTATTATTCGCATACGACACACTTATTCGGCGACGGCGGCGCGGTCTACTTCTCTCAGTGCTGCTCCGCGGTATACCCGGGAGACAACGCGCAACACCCCCATGTATATTGCGTGCGTGAGTCATTTAACGTTTCGTCTCGTCTCGCTAAATGCGCGCTCCATCGCGCTCACGGAAGTCTACACCATGCGCGCTTCTCGCTGTTGTCTCGCGTTTGCGCTCGTCCCGGTCGAGGCCGGGGTGGACAGACGCGAGAACACGGGCCCTCGCGGAAGGTCGATCAATCGTACGTGACGAGGGATGCATATTGAGGCTCTCGGGCAGATACTGTGGACTCGTTCGGGATCGATTCCGATCGGACCGTTCCTCCTAGAAGATATAACGGAAGGGGACAGCCAAAAGATCCCGATCGGAATCCCGAACAAGTCCGTAATAGCACTACCCCTGGTTCTTCGCCGTGCAACTCTCGATTGATGATGCTCGATTTATTGAAATGAGAAAACTGACCAAAATCCTCGCGAAATACGCTGGACTTAAAAGATATACTTCATAAAGTGAGCCTTGGAATCGATTGAGCACACAACATTTTCTTTCTCTTCTTCTGACAGTCTTCTTCTGACATTAATAAATAACTGCAAAATTAACGTAACATGCAAGCTTTTAGCTTACATTCAGAATCTCACGATTCTGTTATGTTGATTTCACGATTTTTAATGATTGTTAGTCCATCATTAGAAAGGTAGGATTTCTCTTTTCCTTTTCTGGTTAAATTTTATAATTTTTCAAATCTTATATAATCTCTCATGATTCTGTGAAGTATTGATATTTAATAATAGTCAACAGAAAAAAGTCTAAAAATATTACAGAGATTTAAAGAAAAGCAAATGCATGGGGTCTGTCAGATTCCATTTTTTCGACGAGTTAAAATAAAAGAAGAGTAATGTATTACAATTGCGCTCAAGCGACTGCAAGTGTCACACTTTTGTTTCGACATATCGGAGAATTTTGGACGCACGTTTTGGATATTTGCCTCGCTTCCGACGTCATTAATCAAGATTATGCCCGCGGCGAGGACACAAGAATCAAAATGATTACGCGACGCGGCTCGTGAGAGACACGAGTGCGCGAACGTCCGAAACCGACTCGCTCCGATCGAGACGAAGAGTTAAACGGCCACGACGCTTCGACAGAAGCGAAATTCTCGCCTCGTCGTCGTCGGCTCGGCATATTTCGCCGGACCGACGGGAAAATCCACGAAGAAAATCCTGCGACTGCGCGGAGAGCGGGCAGCGACTTTCAGCGGCACGAGCTCGCGCCGGACTTCGTCCATACTTCACCAATGGAGACTATACTTTTGACGGGCCGTCCCGTTGGAAATTATACACGTTCCTTTTCGCAGTTAAGAGGATGCTAGAGTCGATGGCGAACTCGACAAATGTAACTCGTTTGCAACTCAAAAATTGAGTATTTGTAATTCTGCGCGGCCAATGCAACTTTGTAATGTAAACTTTGCAGAAAAAGAAAGCAGTATTCTGTCGGTAAAGATTTCGACTCCAGCATCCCCTGAAGCCTCTTCTACCGCGAGAATCGGAAGCGTTTTTTCTCGCTACAGATTCTTTGCGAAAGTTTTCAGCGGATCGTTCCCTCTGTTTTTTCTTCTCTTTCCAACGAGGCCACGCGAGACATGGTCTCGCTCGGTAGTCCGTCTCTAATATTTCACTTTCTCGACATCGGATCAAGCACTTGTCGGCGAGAGGGAGCTGGCGGACAAATGTGACTTGTCGTGCGCGAGCCCGTCCGCCTTTTCTTCGTGTATGCCTCGCCGAAGGTCCTCGTACGGCCTCTCATCCTTAATGCCGAGGAAACAACAACGCGCCGGGGGACTCGCGAGCCACTTACCTCTTCGTTGAGATTGCTGACCAACAGTACCGCCGATGCTTGTCCGCTTCCCTGCACTCGTACTCCGAGACCAGCAGCGCCGAGGGGAAATCCGCTAAGGCCGGCGAGGCCTCCGGCAGGAGGTACGCCGTTGTAAGGGCCAGCCAAGGGCGAAGGGAGGCCGTGCATAGCCGCGAAGGGCGTGGGCAGCACACTCGGTGCCCCTGTAATGGACTCTACTTCAGGAAATTCAAATGAGATTATTATTATTGTCGATCACACACTGTTTGAGGGAATGGGGGCGACTTTGCGCTTAAAATTCGGTTAACGGCTTTAATTCTCCTTGGTATCCCGGAACAAGGTATCCCGGAATTGTTAGGAAAAGATAATAACAGCAATCGCAAACAAACAATCTTGATAAACATGCAATCGTGAGCCAATTGTTTTCGCCAGATATTTTCCCATTATATATATATGTTGTACCGATTCTCTTCCCTTTTCCAAAAATCGCGACTATAAATATATAAAGTAAAAGTACCAACCCTTACGGAAAAATATTATAAGGAGACTACTGAGAACAGTAGTATTTTCATCGATTAACGAAAATACTACTGTTTTAACTATTAAATACTTATATTAAAACTATTCATAAAATTAACGAATAAGTTTTCTATATAGTTTTCCAATAGTGTTGTAATAAATATATAGTAGTATTCCAATATTTTTCCATAGCGTTTTAATAGTTTTCCTATATTGTTCTCAGTAGTTTTTTCTTATAGTTTTCCGTAAGGGAATGCTCGGACATGTACCTAATTCTGGATATTCTTTGTTTTGGTATTTAGATACAAATATTTAAACTTTCAACATCAAATATATGTATAAGTATGGAGTATGTAAATATATTTTATGTTGAAAGATTATATATTCGTATTTAAAAACCAGAACAATAAGATTGTCCAGGATTAGGCACGTGTCCGGGAATTAGTACCTTTACTAGTCTCTCAAAGCTTACTCTACTTAAAGAAATGCTTTTTCCAAGCCAAATTAGGCCAATTAGGCCAAATTAGCCAAATTAGGAAATGTTTAAGCGCGCAGACAAAGATCTCGTTATCTAACTAGTTATTTCTTCAATGAGGAGAGCGACACCTCACAGTGGGTCTCTGTCTTTCGATCGGCAGTCATCAGCCGAATTGTTTGCGCAACGAGATAGGACATGAAGTGGATTACACCGTTATAGATTAAACACCAACAACGCCGTGAAATTAATTTAACCCAAACAAGCGTCGGCGGAGCGTGTAATTTAAACTAGCGTTGTCGCCGGCGTAAACGCAAAAATCCAGACGATTCGGCGCGCCGTCGGCGCGCAGCAAGCCGGATTGCTTCCCCGGTACTTTGTAATTAATTAATTTACCCGAGGAAATAATAACGTCCGAGCGGCACGCGGCGGACAGAACGGCGGACAGTCCGAAGCGCGCGCGGCAAATTGCTGGCCGGCCGCCCCGTCGTTTCGCGAAATAATAATTCAGCGCCGGCAACGGTGAGGTGAGTGGCAGAAAATCGGTATCGCTGTTAATGTAATTAATTCCAATAAATATAACGTCTCGCGCGATCGCACGTGCCGCTAATTGTTCGATCGAGTTTCCAGTTGTTTTCTCTTGCGGAGAGCTTTCCCTCTATGCAAAAAATACAAACGCCATGCACCACACAAATCGCCTTGTGTACGCGCTCCTCCCCTCTCTCTCCCTCTCATGTCCAATCTCGCTGTTGCAATTACTGAATGACGTCTAATAGTAATAAATCTAGAGAGCGCTCGTTGTGAAGTACTGCATTGTAACGAAGTCGTTATTATCGAAGTTGTTATATGGATTTGCGCGAAATTAACGCTATGCGTCGCGTGTAACTACTGGTTCGATTGGTGCTCCTTCCTGTATGCGCGTTCGCGATCGCGCGATTTCATGCGATACATCAAACGTGAACCTCTGAAGCCGACCACCACAGACGCGATTCGCGCAAGCAATTGGCTCTTGTGTCAGCAAATTATCGCGATTATTGCAGCTATTGTAATTGTCGAGGTCATAGAGTGTAATAAACTTGATTGAGTTAACAATGTAGTAAACTGATCAGCGTTTTGTACATGACAAGTTAATAAGCGTATGCAGAGTGTCTGGATATAAAGGTGTGCCTGAGCGCTTGTAGGCAAGAGAAACTCGTTGAACTGACTAGAAAAATGCTGTGCCAATTTTTCAAGACAACCACGATTATCTTTGAGATTTCAGTTAAAGGAAATGCGCGCGGTACACGATGGTGGGACGAGCTCTAAAGAGACGTGTCTTGGGTTTGCTCTCTGATCTTTCAGCTACGGCGAAGACAGACGTGTGATTTGAGATCACCAATTTTCCAAAGATCATACAAGAATAAAATACTTAAAAATATATTTGTGGGATATAAATCTATTTCTGATCTCTCAAGTTTATTTCTGTGAAACGAATCTCACATATTCCAGAAATAAACTTTTATATACATATTTTCATATATTTTCTCTTCTCAGTGCAATTTCTTGCTTCATTAATATCTCAACAATTACCGTGGCAGTTTGCAAAAACGATCGAGGATTTTTTTACTTAGTTTAACGAGTTTTACACGAGTGCTCTACACTAAAAAAAGAAAACCTGAAAATTTATTTATAAAATATAAAGCTTATTTCACAAAAATAAACTTCATTTCACAGAAATAAACTTTGTTTCTCAGAGATAAACTTTATATCCCACGAATGAATTTTCAAACGTTTTTTCTCAATATAAATCCAGATACCTTGTTAATAAATTGCAAAACTTAACGAGATTGCGGTTTGACAGAAATAAACTTTGTTTCTCAGGAATAAATTTTATATCTCATAAATGTATTTTTTTCTCAGTATAAATCCAGACACCCTTTTAGTAAGTTAGCTTGCAAAACTTGACGCGTTTACGATAACAATAATAATGCAATGCGCCCAAAGGGTGAATGCGTTAATAATCACAGACTCACCGGGTATTCTAGCACGTGGTTGGGAACCAGCACCCATGAGCAATTGGGGTAGTAATTCGCCGCCGAGGGCGATCGACGCCGCGTCCAGGTTAGCGTCGCCGGTCGGAAGATTCGGGTTGGTGTAGTCACGGGATTTGTCGTTGTTGTACTTGACATTGAGGTTCTGCATCTTGCTGTAGTCGATGCGCAGTGTGCAGCAGGAGTTGTAGATGTTCTGCCCATCAAGCGACTGCACAAGAAAAATTGCGGATTTCGTGGTGACATCGGATTAAAGGGAACAGTGGTCATGCGCTTATAAGCTTGGAACACGAGGATGACTCTCTCTCTCTCTCTCTTTCTCTCTTCCTCGGTGTCTCACTCGGATACAATTTCGAGTGTTCCCTGCGATTAAATCAGGGAAAGACAAAGAAGGACTTCGCAATCTTGTTATCGCGTGCACGAGACAAGATAACGGTTAAATGCGACAGCGACATTCAATTCAGGATTCGAAGAGAATCCGGGAGAAGCCTGGACGCGCCAGCTCGAGATCGACTTCACGTTTGGACGTGTCAGATTGACACAGAGACACGCGTACAAAATTACATGTAGAATTACATGTTCTGCCGCGAATCGCGCACGTAGAAAGTAAATTAATATCCATTTCAATATCAAATTGATATATTCAAATCGACAATCGCTGTTTCATATATGAGCAATGATATATTGCAACTGATAATATTGTCAAAAAAGTCTTGAACCCTCGAATTTCAATAATGTGAATTTTTTATATGAAAATGTTATAATTACTTGGTTCAGCTAAGCGAAATTTGTACAAGAGAAATTTATTAAAAAAAGAAAATAAAAGAATATTTTACTAATCATTTTGTAATTTTTACCAGATGACTGATAACTATTTAAAACTAATTAACAAATTACGCACTGAAATGCTCGCGCTCTCTAACAAATGCATTCGTTAACTATCGCAAGACTTTTTCCCCGTGTAGATCCGAGTAGGTCGCCACTCGTGCATCAGCGGGAATTCCGGGGTATCGCGAAATTTGCAGGTCGCAGGTCGCCCGTGGCCTTTAGTCTCGCTCGTTTGAGCAGCGCATGGCCGACCGGTCGGTCGGTCGGTCGTTCGGCTGGCTGGACGGTCGTTGGTCAGATGGGACGGCGAGGCGCGTCTGTGTACCCGGCCGCGCTCGCTCTCTATATTTACACGGGCTAATGAATTTCGTACATAATTACCGCGCCGGCCCGCGCCAGCCGAGCTTCAGGCGTGCAGCAAGCTCTTCTCGCGCGGCTCCTCGGGCGGTTTACTCACGGCCGAGGGAGCACCGGTTGCATAATCGACGACCGAGGCGTCGATTATGCTGGCGAATTCTGCGTTCTTCCTTTCTCTCGCGAACGATTGCGGCGACGGCCACGAGCGCTCACAACCAGACGTCGCGCTCGTCGCGAATCTCGATGCGATTCGACGTCCCACGTTTGTGGGAATCGTTCGCGGGACAGCTCTACTACGGGACGGAGGATCAGGTCGTCACTGAGCGAATCGGGCGGATCGTGGCGCGAGTTCGCGTCGAGGAAAAACGAGCAGGAAGGAATAATCCGGACGTGATGGCGAACATCGCGCGGACAGGGGCAATACTCTCGCGTGCAACAAAGCTAAATTAATTTTCTATCTTGCGCGCGTGGCGGGGATGGTGGTTTGCGGCGAAACGGTGTATTTCAAGCGAATTAATTCTCCCTTTGATCACCGCGCGCGGGTTTACCAGTTCG